CACACACACACACACACACACACACACACACACGTATCCATATCAAATACATTTGTACACTAAATGCAACCTTAATATGGGTGTCCCAAAAATATCATCATATAAGCATATTTGTACGTTTTACTAAGTTAATTGGAGCAACATTCAAAAATATAGAACTGTCACCTGTCATATTTTCCCCTTCCTACTGTCTGAAGAAATGTCCTCCTAGGTTCAGTTCCAAGTGGGGAAAAAGACACTGGAAACATGGAGGCTGTTTGGAAAGATGGTTTAATGGTGGACAGGATCACGTGACTTGAGTTCCTGAACAGAAAAAAGAGATCACATGCTTCCAGATGTTGGGTGAAGAAGATAAAGACCCGAGATGCTGAAAGTCCCTGGTTTTACGCCCTCTCTGGCCTTTGAACCTGAGCTTGTATTCTGACTGGTTGTCAGACTCCCATGGGGCCATGCAGGGACAACTCTGCAGGCTGTGTTTTGAGTCCAAATTTGGTTGAGCATTGCTTCTTCCCAGTTGCCCTGTAGTGAGATGGGTAAAGAACTAATACTTATCATGCCTTAATCCTATCACCCTGGGGCTGAAGGGGAGAGATTTTTTGTTATGTAGAATAGATTGGCTCAGGCCTTTTAATGGCCCATTGACAAAGGTGGGGCTATTAAAAGTGTTTCCTGCCTAAAAACATGTTTCTTCATTTCTTATCCAGGAAAATATAATATTCTGCCTTTTCAATATTTCCCATGATATTTCATTCCTAGGAGAGTGGTGGGTGCTAACTTTCTACGCTATATAAAAATTAAATTTACAGTAAATAATAAATGATACGACTTTCCTGGCCTTGAGGCTTACACGGGATTGTCCACTACATCAGTGGGTTATCCTATTAATTAGTTCTTTGATTTTTTTTTCCTACTTTCATTTTGCTTTCATGCTCTGTGATAATGGATGTCTTTGTTCTCCGGCACTGAAAGTTGTTGGCATTTTTGCAGCCCCCTGGCAAAGGCTTTAAAGATCAAAAACAGCATGTTGAACCCAGAAGCAAAGTGGCAACCTATGCAGCTTGCAGAGCAGAGGTATAATGTGTGTCATTCTAGGGAAATACATAATTCTCCCATTGCTGCATTTTCAGGGGTGGGTTTCAACCGGTTTGCGGCGGTCCCCGCGATCCAGTTGGTCGCCGAACCCGGAAGTAAGTAACTTCCGGGAATGGCGAAGGCCTCCCCGCGCGCCCGCGCGCGCCCACGCCCGCTCCTTACCCGGTTTTGCCGAATTCTGCGCTTCCACGCATGCGCAGGACGCATACAGCGCNTGTAATTAAAAAAAAAATTAAAAAAAAAGTTTCAACAGAACTGAGAAAGTGATTAATGACCATTTTTCACACTTATGACCATTACAGCATCACTATGGTCATGTGATTGACATTCAAATGCTTGACAACTGACTCACAGCTATGTCGGCTGCAAGGTCTTGTGACAATTTGATCCCCTTTTGCAACCTTCTGACAAGCAAAGTCAGTGGGAAAACCAGATTCACTTAACAACTATTTTACTAATTTAACAACTGCAGCGATTCACTTAACAAATGTGGAGAGGAAAGTCGTAAAATAGGGCAAAACTCTCACTTTCAACATAAATTTTGGGCTCAATTGTTGTCATAAGTTGAGGACTTGCGTAAGATACATTAAGGAAATTTGTGCCATCAAGTCAGAATTGACTTACTATTGACAAGCCCATGTATTTTCTTTGGCAATAGTTTTAGAAGTGATGTGCCACTGCTTTCTTCTAAGGCTGAGAATACATATCAAGTCATTCACTGGCTTCATGTCTGAGGAAGGACTATAATTCATAAGTCTCCCAGTTTCTAATGTTACCTTTAACCACTACACAAAGCTTCCTCTCAATATGTTATATTAAAGGATCTGTTATCGTTGTGGTTGTTATTTTACCTGATAAGAGACAACCAATTCTTCTATGAGACATCAAACGTTTTCTAACAGCATTTTCAAACAAAAGTCGAATGTTGCTTTTCACAGTTTCAACATCAACACCTAGCAGGAAAATAGAAGTTCCATTAAAATAGATGAAAAAGGAGGACAAAGTACTAATCAATTTTCTAATAACTGCTTACAAAACATTAAAATATTATCTCCTTGGAATAAAGTTAGCAATAACCAAGAAAGTTGGTTCTTGGCCCAAATTCTAGAGCCAATCAATATTAGATCAGATGCCTGGCAAGAAAGATCTGCCCTGTCCTCAACAATACAGAGGGGGTGGAGAGGGGCTGGACTAGAAAGTGACTGAAATACCCTCTCCTGAAGGAGCTGAATCCATCTCTTCTGACTGTGGCTTCCTTCACCACAATCCACAGGATGTCTTCCAAACATTTTGGTTCTCCAAGAGCATCAAATATTCTGACAGGAAGACACATATTCCAATTAAGTGGAATATTTTTGCAGCTAAGGGTTGAAATGAGGGGTGCTCTCTGAGCTTGGTTGTTTCACAGATGTTTCATTACCCAAACTACCACATTTTTCAGAGTATAAGACGGACCATGATTTTGAAGAGGTAAAGTTTTTTTAAAAGGTTTTGCACTCTGCATGCCTCCCAAACTGTCTACATGCCTTAAAAAGGAGGAGGGGCATGGTGAGTTTGAGAGGCTTTTGGGGGGGGCAAAAAACGAGCAAAATTTGCATTTTTTGGTCATTTTTGCCCTCCTCAGCCCCCAGGAGCACTTTGCAAGCCTCCCAAACCCTCTGCACGTCCATTTTTGCAAAGGGGGCAGAGTTTCGGTAGGGCAAAAATGCTGTATTCAGTGTATAACACACACCCAGATTTTCACTCTCTTTTGGGGGGGGGAGGTGCATCTTATACTCCGAAAAATACAGTAGATATGATTACCTAATCAGGGAATGAAATGTCTGCAACAAAACAACCAAGCCAGGGAAAGCACCAAAGACCCCTCAAGACACATATTCACTGGAGGAGTACAACCTGCCTGACACGTGAACCTGCCTGAAAACAATGAACAATGCTGTTACCTGAAGGCAAATTTTGTACTGTGCTGTAGGCAGCATGCAAAGGTTCATCTTTAGGGCTGTGAAATTTGACCACTTCCACTGATGCAACTTTCCCACTTAGCTTTAAGTCCAAGACTTCATAATGTCCAGGAAGAAAAGGTTCCACTTTGAGAGCACTGGACATATTGTGTTTCAAGTTGATCAGACCTACAAATATAGGATACACAGATACAGGAGTCGTTATTTTACACTTGGCCAAAAGAAAATGCATATTATTATATAACTTTTGAAAGTGTAGATTTCAGAATACCAACTTTAACAATGAACAATGGACAGGAGAACATTTATTTGTGTTATAAGCCTAGTTCAAGTCACAATAGCTGCACTGTGCATGTGCCAAGGAATATAATAGACTGTGATCCTTTCCATATGCTTATTTTCATACAAGACTAACAACATTTCTTTCTATTAATTTTTATGAAAATTTGCAAGCTGTATGGAAATTATAGTTCAACAAGGACTTCTAACATTTCTTTCAAATACCCCAAAACTGAAACTAAAACAAAACTCATCATAAAGAAGATCACACAATAATCTATTCTATACAATAATATTTTACTACAAAACCAATGTATTGTTTTCCTTTCATAGGTTTAACTTTCTGCAGAATTGTGTAACATCTCACTATTAGGAGGTTTCCAGTTCATTCTTAAAAAGAGATTTTGTGGGATGAGGCATGATAATTTCAATATTAAGCAGGTTAACCATTTAGCTCTATTTGAGAGTTCAGATTCAAGACTGTTATTAAAGGATAATTCAGAAAGATACAGAATTTGAGTTACCTTTTGCTTCAGAGCAAACACCCAGGAAGCCATCATCAGTTAGGACCCTAAACAATGGTCTAACTCCATATGTATCTCTCCCCAGAAACACCTTTCTATTTGCGCTGTCAAGCAAAACAAATGCAAATACACCATCGAGCATGGAGGCAGTTTCCTCTATTCCTCCTTTGTCATAAAGATGAAGAATTACCTCTCCATCTACTAAGGTCTGGTACTCAAATCCAAACTGTTTCTGTAGCTACAAGAAAAGAAACATATTCAAGGAGATATATAATTAGAATACAGAGGAACAGACACAAAAAGCATGTTTTTTAGAGCCTACCACCAAACTATGTTAATTAGATACATTTTTTTACAATGCATGCATGCTTCCCTTTAGTGAAATCAGATCTCAGTTTCCTATGTATTCCTTTTTTCATAGATTATCTATCATAGATTATCTATTAGCTTGAAGAGTTATTGATAGGGCACTGAAGACCATTAGAAATGCTGAAACTTTTAGCCAATCTGCTATTTCCCTTAACCTGCAATCGGAGGCTCTACATATTCAGATTTATATAGTTGTACAAAAAAGCTGTGGGAGGAGAGCATATCACAGGAGTAACCATATGACTGAAGCCTTGACTTTTTTCCCCACTCACACATGAAAGATGGCCCTGCTGGGGAGCATAAGAGGCCAATTAAACATATGATTATGAACAAGGTATTTTACACTGGAATGTCCAACCAAGAAAAAATTACTTGTTTGTGTGCATTGTTCTTTGGGGGAAAGATGTTCTTTAAAAAGTTGTTCTAGACATTTCAAGAACTAAATATTAGATTTTATTTGTTTCAGGATTTGACATCCCCATTGTCTAGTGGAGGTTTCCATTTCTGTGCTCATATTTATTATAGACATTGTTCTTTTAATTGAATGCCATCCTAGGAACTTACGTTTAGGAGAGAAATATAATAAATATTCAGTTATTTAAGTGTAATCTTAAAGAGGGAGAATAATGAAAGATGACAAATTTATTTATAACATGACAAAATAGAAAAACATGTTTGCTATGTTCAAACCTGCTCATCATTCAATATATTTTAGGGGACACTAATAAGAGTATGAGTTCCTATTGAATGCTTTATATTAAACTGCACACATTTTCTATGGCAAGTTTTAGTCTTTTATCAAACATTTGCTTCGTTTACATTTTTTTTGCCATACCCAATTACCCAATCTATTGGTCCAATATTTTTGCAATTTCTCAAGATGCCAAAGGTCTGATGTTAACATATGAACAATATACTGCTCATTTTAAATTTAAGAAATTTATAGGCTACTTTTCAGTTTTCCCAACCCAGCTTAAAAGAACATCTTGAGCCAATATACAGACTGATGAAACATGCTTAACGGTCTGTTCAGACACCAGATATTAGGGAATGCTACCAAAACCATTAGAATGTAGTTTTTATCATATCTGTACCCGTTTGAAGTTGTAGATCTCTCCATTGTAACACAACCACAAGTAGGGAAATTTTTTCACCCTTATAGGCTGCATTCCATATAGCTGATCAACAATTGCTAGACGATGGAAGCCAAAGCAACAGTTGGTAAAGCCATTGACATTTTCAAACCGGAAAGCATCTGGACCTCGGTGGGCTATTTTCATAGCAGAGAGACACTGGGCAGAGAGGCATCCATCACTTCCGAAAAGGGCCCATATGCCACACATGGTGATGATGATGGATAAAGGCTACTGGGGAGAAAAAGAACAAAGTAGGTTTTTTTTTTAATGTTCTTTACACCATTCCATGAAAATAAATGTGGCATGTAATTTGTCATTAAAAAAACACATCACACACAAAATTTCAGTATTTAATTTAAAATAATTAAACTATATTTCAGGGGTCTACAAACTTGATATCTTTAAGACTTGTGGACTTCAACTCCCAGAATTCCCCAGACAGCATGGCTGACGGCGGAATTACGGATGTCCACAAGTCTAAAGTTGCCAAGATTGGCGATTCCTGAACTATTTTGTGGTATTGAAACTAGTTTGCATTAATTTCGTATTAATTAGTAATACCAACTTTGAACTTTTTTTTCTGTTAGTTTGGTCTTCAGAAGAAATCTGTCTTGTTTCATTTTTGTACATACCTAATTCCAAAAGGTTCTGTAGAATATAGCATAAACATATTTTTATCTTTTCCCCCCTTATTTCATCTTAATTACAATAAAGCAACTTTCCTATTGCAGTTGAAACTTTTCTACATGACCATTTAGCAATGCTTTCAAACAAGTGCGATCTTGCTTGACATTGAGTCAAGCTATTTAGCAAATTATCCTCACCAATTAACTCTTCAACATTTCATTTTTAATCTATTATGTCATGATAGTTGTTTACTTTAGAGAACAAGAAAAAAATTAGAGAACTCCTTACCTTCTTCCTAATTAATAAAAAATTAATAAAAAATACAATCTTATGACAATGATGTAACAGCTACCTACTTAACAGCTTCCTACTTAGAGTAGACCACAACTAAAAGTCAGTAATAATAGATAAATAAATTCTATACATACGATATTCAAGGAAGCATGCAAAGATAATTCTTCAATTTCTCCTCGCAACACATCTATGACTGTGAGATATTGTGTTAGAAGAACGTAATTGGCCCAAGGCTTTTCAATCACTTCTTTGGTCATAGATTTGGTTTCCCCATTCAAAAACTTAGCCACTTATAACCCTGCTCTAAATTTTATCAGCTCATCATGTGTATTGTCTCCTTTCACATTAATTTATGAATGTCTTGTGAAAACCTTCACATCAATCATTAATCAATCTACCTTGCATGTTTTATTGTAAACAATTGATGCATATTTTCTATATACTTCTAAAAACTGCTCTCATGGAAGACCCACGGAAACTGCAGGAAAACAGTGTTCTGATCTTATTATTGGCTTTAATCAAATAGTTCTTCTGGCTAAATTAAATTAAATAAATTAGTGAATGAATTGATAAATAGGCATACAGTATACAGCAACAATAGGCAATAGCATACAGCAACATCCAACTGACCTGTCACTAGGCCTGGAAGCCAAGTATGGTCAAGACCAAATTAATTCAGATGGAACGCCGTCAGAAAGTGCCAGAGCTGTATGTTAAATGAAGAAATTGGAAGACATCTTAAAACAAAGCACTGCCAAGCAACTTCCATACAGTTGGCAAGAAAACTGCATGCCTGAACCTGTGAGAGCAGATGGCAGAGCAGACTTCTCTTTTTCATAAAGCAAAGAGAGTCCTCAACTTACAACATTCATTTAGTGACTTTTCAAAGCTACATCCCTAAAAAAAGGACTTATGAGCATTTTTCACATGACTGTTGCAGAATCCCCTTGGTCAGGTGATCACAATTAAGACACTTGGCAACTGATTCATATTTATGACGGTTGCAGTGGGTCATGTGGTTGCAATCTTCTGACAAGCAAAGTCAATGGTTAAACCAAAGTCACTTAACTGTGCTAATAACGTAACAATTACAATGATGATTTAACAGCTGTGTCATAAAAGTCATAAAATGGGACAAAGTTCACTTAACAAATGTTCCACTTAGGAACAGACATTTTGGACAGTTTACTTGCATTCTGCTTTGAAGAAAAAACTGGCTAGAGTAAAATAGCAAAAGTATTAAAGACAGTATTTGGAAGAGATTTTAATGTTAAGAGACAACACAGCTGTGGAGTTGTTGGAAAGCACAGCCAAACACAGCCACAGTCCTGGTTAGCTAATTGCATGGATTTGCCCACACACTGGGCCAATTCAGACAACACCTTGTGCAACAAATTAGTCAGCAGCTAAGCTAGCCTGTTGTACTAACCCCACCCCTAATATAACAGTTTATATTCTCCTGCTTCTCCTCTTGCACAAGTGAGAACCAGCATTAGGCATAATTAGAAAGTAGCGTTTTTAAAAACATATTGAATAAGATGTTGCTTGTTTACAAGAAGTCTGACAACCAGAAATCATACAGCTGCAGTTTTTAATGAGTCGTTCTTTTGTTTGCATTCCGTACTTTTAAACAATTACGGTCATTTCGATTCGTCCGTGAATAAGAACTAGTGCCCCCGACGCCAGCAGGAAGGTAACCCTTTGCAGTAGGCACCTGAATCACACGTGTTTTGCAGGTCTGAATGGCACGGGGGGGAAGTTCTGGGCATAAATAGAATGGATGGGAAACTAGTAAGTGCCGGTCCTTACAGCCCAGCCTTGAAAAGGGATCCCTTCGCTGGCTTACCCTTTCAACTTCAGCTCAGATTTTGCACCGGGAAAAGACGCTTTCACAAGCGAGAAGAGACCATTCACTAGCAGGCTCGACAGGTGAACCGCGTGCCGTTTGGCCGAGCTCAAGAGAAACGAAAGCACAACGTGGAAACCAATCACAGCTCGCTCGGCTTGTTCTTCTGTAAGACTGAGCCGGATTTCATCAGCCGGCGGTCCTCCCACCGTCCGTGCCTGGGACTTCCTCGTTCTGTTTCCAGTATCGCATTGGTTGGACGCTTTCCTACGCCGCCGGCTCCTGCTGGGACGGGTTCCCGTTTTCTGTTTTCCGGAAGCTATTTTCCAGCGGATGACAGAAAAGCCGCGTCGTTTTGAAGCGCAATTCTGTGTGAAATTGCAACTACTGGGCGCAACTCGGCAGTGGTGTGCCATCCCCCTCCCCCCTCCCCATGACCTGGTGCCGTTAGGGATGATGTCACTAAAAAGAAGTATTGGTACTGTACTGGAGATGTGTGTGCAAAGTAACTCCAGTATATCATCTGAATGCGGGTTAGGCGGTGCGGGCAAGAGGCCATTTGGCCCGGGCCTCGAGCCAAAAGAATCACTTGTTCTTTTTATCCATTTATCCAAACAAAGGGTCACGCTGTTTGGGACAGTGTGCCTTGTTTTATTTTCACGGGTAATTGTTTTTTTAATTAAGACTAGACCTAGTCTCATATAGAAAGTAGGCTGGACTTTTGTTCTCTGAAAGATCTTTTTTTTCTTTTTGATGTAAATGTGTTTTTATTTTCCATTTTCATTTTCGTACAGTCACATATATACTGTGCATAACCAGGGCCATATAACATT